TATTTCTATTAGAGTTGTGATTTTAAGCTGAGATGTTAAATAATTTAAGTTTGAAAACCAGTATTAGGATGTGTGAGTGGACTTTATTTGTTATAAGCTTAATAATATACTAGCTAAAGAAGAGTAATTTACCTGTTGGAGACGTTTGGCTTGTGTTGTAAATACCGTGCCAGGTACTTAAAATGCGGAAAAAGAAAAATGCACACATTAAATTATAGCTGAACTTAAAATGTTAAAGGAAATCACCTTTAATTAAGGGCTGATCAACAACAATCAACCTGGGGCTAGGGAATCTCCCAGCTTGCCAGCCTGAGCTTGACTAACCAGCTGAACTTGCTTCCAAACAGTAAGATGAGATGTGGTGAGGGAAGGGTGAGGTAGGACTAGCAGGGGCTGATTACGAGGCAGTACTGGGAATAAAACGTGTGTGAAATCTGAATGCCTCACAGGTATCCACCCTAAGGGGTCTCTTATCGGCACTGCCAAGAGAACACATCCCATTCACCGTGTGCTTCCGGAGTGAGGGGCCGCTCAGTGGGCACAGCCGTGTGACAATCCAGACGTGGGCCAAGGGAGCCCTGCTGGTCCTGCCCAGGCCTGTGCCTGAGGGTGGGCAGAGAGCCTGTGCCAGGACTCATAAGACTGTGAGGAAGGAAGTCAGGCCCATCCCATGAGAACAGGGAGGAAATGGCTGCTCTTCAAGCAAAACAGAAATTACCAAAATCACTCCTGGAAGAACTGGAACATTTGAATAGTTCAACTTCCATATTAGAAATTAAAAAGCTGATTAAAGACCTACCTTTGGGAAAATTCAGTCCAATTGAATTTTATTTACTTTTTAAATAGATATTTCAATTTTTTTGTAAATATTTTTAGACAACAGGAAAAGGTGGAAAGCATCCTTTAACTTATGAAAACATAACTTCATAAATTAGCATATGAAAATGATGCTACTTTGCCCAGTTCAGTGGTTGAGCATCGACCTATGAACCAGGAGGTCATGGTTTGATGCTTGGGTTGCGGGCTGGATCCCAGTGTGGGGTGTGCAGAAGGCAGCTGATCAATGATTCTCTTATCATTGATGTTTCTATCTTTCTCTCCCTCTCCCTGCCTCTCTGGAATCAATAAAAATATTTTAAAAAAGAAAATGATGCTACTTCAAGTAAGCCTATAGATGCAAACACAGTGGATAAAATAGTAGCAAAATGACTCTACCAATGTAACAAATGTGTGTCAATGTATCCAGTTGATAGATCCTCTCTTATTAGGCCCACTGGTATTTATTCTTTTAATTTTGCTTTGGCCCCTGTCTCATGCGCTGTTTTACTAGTTTTTTGCAGAACAGAATGCAGGCGTTCGCCAACCAGAAGGTGGAAGAGATCTATCTGGCCTTGAATTCAGAACCTAGAGACACCTATGTCACTGGAATCTTTGAGACCCCGGGTAGATGCCCCTGACGACGCCCCCTCTCAGCAGGAAGTAGCTATGGAAGATGGACCCTTGCCCCCTGACCTTGCCTGGACTCTTAATTTTTTTATTATTACCAAAAGCCTGAATGATAAATCCTCTCTTCCCGCAACTGGTGGGCAGAGTATGATGTAACCTGCAGCCCGGAAATACCTGAGTGACTAACCAGGTACCTTATATGGACTATACATTGGACCACCAATCCACACCTGCCAAATACCCTAAGCCCTTGTTCCTATATGGACAATGCAGTAAGCCGCCAATCAGTGTGCGCCGAGTACACTAAGCCCCCCACCCCTTCCCATTCCGCCCCTCAAAAGGCCTGCCCACCCCTGCACGTGCTGCTGTCCTCCTCTTGCAAGACAGCCCGGCAGATCCTTCTCCTCTAATAAAGCCTATAGTCCTGGTTTTCGGCCTTTGTCTGATCTTTCACCAGTCATCTACACCACCACCAACCAGGGTCTGCTCAGCAGTGCAAGGATGGTTCAAGAGCAGAATGCTGATCAGCATTAAGAAGAAAAATTCACGAAAGAAGAAAGATGCAGAGAGCCTACACTAAGCAATCAGAGAACAAATGCCCTTTATCTACTCAGTCTGCTCCTGGGAGGTCTGAGGGAGTCTGAGCCAGGGGTGAACAGTGGTGGCGAGTGCCAGGAGCATGGGGACGGCTTGCTGAGGTGTCAGATCCATCGTGCGACAGGCTGGGAAACTTCAGGGCCACAGAGAACATTGTGTTGGTGGAGGGACTGAAAGGTGGGGAAGGTCTTGCTCTTGGTTGTGACGGTTTGACTGCAGGTCACAGACACCCAACTCAAACTGTCAGATGTGGACAGGGAACTTACTAGAAGGGTGACTATGGGCAGCTGAGCTCAGGGACATCTGCCACCAGACTCCAGTCTCAGCCCTCCTCTCTGCTCCTCTCTGGGACTGGATGGCATCCTCCTTGTGCCCCTGCCAGCCACTGTTCTAGTCCATGGGCAGGGACCTGGGCCGTCTCTGAAAACGTCTCATCCTCCCGCCCAGGTGCATGGCAGGTGCTGCAGCCACAGATCCACACCCTTGGGGAAGGCCTGAAGGGCCTGTCTTGGCCCCGCACCCATCCTGGTCAGAGGTCAGAGCCAGGCTGTCCCAGGGACAGGAGCTGACCAGCTCAGTTCAGCCCTCTCCCCATTCCCTGATCTTCTCCTGGCTCCTCAGAGGAGGTGGCAAACAGCATCCAGGCACACTGGGCTGAGATCGCATTAGCCAAGGTTATGCTGGGGCCTCGAGGAGACGGGATGTTTCACATCTGTATTTGAGGGTCACAATAACAGTAAAAATTAACAAAATAGCTCTGAGGGTCGTGGGTGTTTACAATGATTTTAATACTCCCGCCCACTTGGTGGAGGAAGTGCTGTGACAGCCTCTATTTCACAGATGGGGAAACTGAGGCAGAATTTGCCCACAGACAAATAGCCACCCAGGTAAGCATGCTCTGGGGTGCTCCTAACCCCGCACCTGTCTACTCACCTGTGACAGGTAAGAACAGTGCAGTGTGTTTGGGAGAGGCTCGCTGTCCCCAGGCCCCGCCTCCTCACCACCATATTCTTCTGGGTGTGTCTGTGAGAGCGGGGCTGTGCAGGCCCATGGGTGCAGCAGGAGGAGGAACAGGAGAGTTGGATCCTAGGTGGCGAGGGTCTTGGGTCTGCAGGCCGTGGGCCCTCTCCCAGGTCTTCAGGTCTCAAAATACTGGGACAAGGAGCCAGGCCTGGAGGCAAACTGGTGCCGGCCACAGGGGGCACTTCTAGGTGGGGGGTTGAGAGGGGGGGGGCATGCTGACAGTGACCCCTGCTCTGGTTCCACTCAGACTCACCTGCTTGCTGGAACACTTCCTCCAAAGGCCCCCAAAGCACAGCCACACCCCACGGCCTGTGAGCCCCAGTGTCCCCAAGCCCACCCGTGCCTGAAGGCCAGGCGAGGTGGGCCTGGCGTGAAGGGCTCCTGGCCGTGGGTGTCCAGGGTTTGTTTGAAGGAAGATGACAGCACCAAGGAGGGGAGCGGAGCCCAGGACCTGAGCCCTGGTGTGGAGGCTGAGCCCCGAAGGCATCAGGGCTGGACAGAGAACTGCAGCACCTGTGGCACAGGCGGCACAGGTGGCACGGGGGCATGGGGCCGGGCAGGAGGCCTCTCCCCAGCAGCAGAGTTCTCCCTGATCCGTGCCTGGAGCAGCTGGCGGTCTGGAGGGCATGGGCTGCCCAGGGAAGCAGGGCCCAGGCGGGTGGGGGCGGGGTCTGCTCAGGCCCAGCCCACACTGGGCTTCACTCCACAGGAGAGAAGCCACAGAGACGTGAAGTCCCCCCAGTGGAATCCCCCTGCCCGGAGCAGCTGAAAACCAAGCGCCAAACACCACCCACCGAAGGAAGAGCAGGAACCGGACCCCCAGATGGAAGGGAGGGGAGCGGGAAGAACCACTCCCCCAGCAGGGGAACACCAGCCTCCGCAAAACTCCGAGGCGACCGGGAGGAGTAAAGAGAAAAATAAAACCACAGGGAACCATTCAACGGTCTTTTTCACAAACCCAGGGAAACATAGCACCTACTTGTGAAAACAATTTTTTGAAAGAAAAAGAATACATTCAGGCTACTAGTTTCACACAGTAAAACCCAAGAAACCCTTACCTGGAGGGAACAAGGACTGAGGAGGAGATGAGACAGATGGCAGGTGAATGGGAAGGTAGGCAGGTGGAAATGAGCACGGATGGAAATAAGCAAATAATGTGGAATGAAGGTGTGATGATGACTTTAGGGACATTTGGAGATAAAAACTAGAGACCCACCGGGTGGATAACTGATTTTCCAGCTGAATAAACAAAACAGAGACAATAATCAAAGAAATAATAGAAGAAACTTTCTTGGGCTGGAGATAGATCTCAATCTATTTAACAAAAGAACTTGTTGGGTATCAAACAGAATTAATAAATATTTTATATTCAAGTATAAAATATCAGCAGAAAAAGCACAGAAAGACAGAGTGGCCCAAGAGAGTTCTGGGCAAACACCAGGAGACAATGCAAATGGCCACAGTGTCCCGGCTGCAAACCCAGGCTTCTGTGCACAGCCAGGTCATCGCAGGGTGACCTGCTGCACGTCAGCTACACGGGGACCAGAAACTGTACTAAGAACATTTCCTCCCTGAAAAACCAACTCAAACAATTATCCAGCAATCAGGGGTGACACAAAATAAAGACCCACAAACGAGGGATGGTTGGATGGGGGATGGGGGAAGAGAGGTGAAACTAGAGTTAAGTCCAAGTAGATTTTGTGAATAAAATCTGAAAACTGCAAAAGAACTACCCTTGCCCTGGCTGGTTTTAAAGGCTGATGCTCTGGCTCTAGCTGGTTTGCTCAGTGGTTAGAGTGCCAGCCCACGGGCTGAAGGGTCCCTGGTTTGATTCCAGTCAAGGGCACGCACCTTGGTTGCAGGCTTGATCCCTGGCCCCAGTCAGGGCACATGAAGGAGGCAACCAGTCAATGTGTCTCTTTCACATTGATGTTTCTCTCTCTTTCCCTTCTACTCTCTCTAAAAAAGAAAAAAAAAGAAAAAATCAATGGAAAAATATCTTCAGGTGAGGATTAACAACAACAAAAAGAACTATCCTTAATGCTAAAACCTTCTCCACCTGTTAGAAACGATGGTTCTTTGGGGGTCTCACTGCAAAGGAGACGAAGATGCACACGGCAGGCAGCACCCAGGAGAGGTGTGGACGCCATCATGTCCGTAGCCAGCACCAGAGTCTCAGTGCCCCCTGCCCACCCCAGGGCCCTTCTGACCTGGCTCACATAAGCAGGAACACCGGTCCCCATTCTACCCCACGCCCTGCACCCTGAGCTCAGCCAACCGCCTCCTGCCAGGCCCTTCCACACCTTCTCGTGCTTTGTAGCTTCGTAACATTCACTCTACCCACTTCCCTTGTGTAGTAGTCAGGGTTCTCCAGAGAAACAGACCAATGGTGATGTATCTCCATCTCCATCCATCTCCATCTCCATATTTAGAGACAGATTTCGTTTAAGGAATCACCTCATGTGATTGTGGTGCCTGGCAAGTCCAAATTCAGAAGGGTAGACCAGAGACCCAGGGAAGAGCTGATGGTGTGGAGGGAGAATTCTTTCTTCCTCAAGCAATCTCAGTCTGTTTTCTCTTAAAACACACCCACATCTGGAGGGCTTTACTTAAACACTACTGATTCCATGCTAATCTTGTCTAAAAAAATATCTTCAGGCAACATCCAGATGTGTTTGACCAAATATCTGAGTGCCACGGCCCAGCCAAGTTGACATAAGATTAACCATCAGGCCTTGTCGTTCCTTTAAAAATTAAGGTTTTAAGCAGCTATAAGGTCAGGCAAACATTTCCCTTTCCGAGGAATAAACCATCTAATCTTACCTCGCACAACATGGGTTATTTCTACCATTTATGTGTATAGTTATTATTATGTTTCATAAATATAACTTCATTCTGAATTACATAGTCAGGGCAGGGGGAAGGGACCACTAAAGGCATTAATCTCCCCCTTAATATTGGCATATCTTCTTTCTACTTACTTTTTAAAAAATCCTTACCCGAGGGTATGTTTTTATTGATTTGAGAGAGAGGAAGAGAAAAAGAGAGAGAGAGAGAGAGAAACATTGATCAGTTGCCTCCTGTACACGCTTCAACCAGGGATTGTCCCTGCAGCCTGGGTATGTGCCTTGACCCGGGATCAAACCCACCACCTTTTGGTGACAACACTCAACCAGCGGAGCCTCCGGCCGGGGCTTTGTGTACTTTTTTAATGCTGAGGAATTTGACAGCAAGTCACAGACACCGTGGCATGCCTTCTGGAAATATTTCTGTGTGCATCTCTAAAAAATACAAGTATTTCCCCCACGACCAAATAACATCCTCACACTTAACAAAACCAAGACGAATTCTTTCATACTAGTTTCCTCAGGCTGGAAAGAATATCGTCAACAGCTGGTCTCTGGCGAAGAGGATTCTGCCGGGGCCTCCTTGTGGGTGAATGTCCCCGGGTCAGGCCCGGAGCACGTTGTTTCCACGACAATGACAAGCAGGAGACGGGCCAGCTGTCCTGTGAACGCGGGAACTTAGATCTAAAGGCTTTCAGATTCCAGTGAAATACTTTTGGCCAGAGCGCCTTGTAGCTGACGTTCGTTTGCAGAGCTGTTTCACAGGAAGAAACACAAAATCCAGTTGCTGCCCTGCGTGGGGCCAAGACCGCCTTCAGGGTCAGGCCTGTGGTTTCAAATCAGGACACTGAAATTGGCTGGATGAGCTAAAAAAAAAACCAAAACAGCCTCATTTACAAAGGAAAATGTGTATCACCCCTAACCAGCCACTTGAATCTACAGTAACGCCTGTCGGCAGCCCTCATAAATTTACTTCCCATTGCCCGGCCGCTCTGGGAAAAACTCAGTCTGGGTTTCACCCGAGAACACCAGTGGGAGACCTCATTCTGTGGCTGGGCCGGATGCTGCCACGTCGAAGCTGAGGAGCCTTCCCACATGGCCCAGAGCCCAGCGGCCTCTGCTCCCGCCTCGCCTCCACTCTGATAACTGCCCTGTCTAGGGTCCCTCCCTCACTCCTGGGGCCACAGATCTGAAGCCTCTGGACCAGAGGTGGGCAAACCCAGGGCCACAGTGGGTTCTTAAACTGGACCGGAGGCCGGAACAAAAGCATGGATGGAGTGTTTGTGTGAACTAATATAAATTCAAAGTGAACATCGTTACATAAAAGGGTACGGTCTTTTTTTTTTAGTTTTATTCATTTCAAACGGGCCGGATCCGGCCCGCGGGCCGTAGTTTGCCCACGGCTGCTCTGGACTGTCACGTTCCCCTCCAGCCGCACAGCCCGGGCGGCGGGGCTGCGCCTGTCATAAAAGTGGCCCACAGCTGTTGCTAAAGAGGCCCAAGTGCCGGCACGGAATGGCAAGACAGGCACGTGTGGGCGCTGGCGGGGCCTGCTGTCACCGGCGCCCTCAGCAGTGTCATCAGCGTCGTCACCGTGGCCTCCTGAGCCGGCTGCCCAATCTCCTGCGGCTCCGCCCCTGCAGGGCCCTTCCCTCGCCCTGAGCAGGGCGATGACCTGCCGAGGGGGGCACGTTAGCTAATTCTGTCCACTGCAGCCGCCCCGCCCAGGCAGCTCCCGCAGCACTGCCCTCCGCCCACCTCAGGGATCCCCCACCCCAGGGATCCCCACCCCTCCTGGGCCATCCCATCCTCAGGCTCCTGCCAGGACCCGAGCACCCTCACAGTGAGGCCAGCACAGGTCCGGTCACCGAGTCGTGTCTTGAGAAACAGGGCCTTTTCCTGTTGAACAGCCGATAACAGAGCGGGGATGGCGCTGGTCGAAGTGTCAGTCCTCCTCCCGCTTTTCCACATTATGTCTTCATGTCCCCCCATAAACCCCCCAGATCATGAGCCAGCAGCCCAAGGTGAGGCAGCACCTGGGCCAGCCCAGCTCATCCTCGTCCACCAGGCCGTGGGGGAGGGTGAGCAGAGACGGCCCAGACCTGTCCTGGAGATGGCCAGAGAGAGATGGACGGCTCCAACAGAGACCCACCGGCTCTCCCGGGAGAAAGCCCCGGTCTGTGGCATTTGCCCATTTCCACGCCATAAATACACTCACGTGGCTGATGTCAAACTGCCAACGTGACGACATCGCTGCGCGTGGGCTGGGAGAGTTGCCCACCTTGGGCTCTCATGAGCCACGCACGCGGGGTCCAGCTGGCCCTGCGGCTGCCCCTGGGGTGGGGTGGGCAGGTCTGACCAGCATCCACAGGCCCAGGGCCCCGGGAGTCTGTGTCTAGAGGATAAAAGCAGAGGCCAGAGCCAAGGAGATGGAGGCCCGTCCCTGAAACCTGACCTTACATCTTCCTGAGTTTGCCTTTCGGCTGCATTCTGCTCACCTAGTGCTTTGAAACAAACATCCCCCATGTAGTGGCTCTAACAATCACATTAGCAGCTCAATAGCTGTGATTCGGCTCCGTGAGGCCAGCTCCTCCGTGGGGCTTCAGCCGGAGTGACTCATGGGCTGGCCAGACCCCTCTGCACGCCAAACTCAAACCTGGGAAGAAGGACGGGCACGCTGCAGGCCTCCCTGGGGATCCTACATACAAGCCTGCGCCCGGCCCTGCGAGGCAGGGCTTAGACCTCAGGACCCCTTTCCTCGACAGGCATCCAGCAGGCACAGAGCCCCGCGTGCCCTCGGGGACCCAGGGTCCTTGGTCTTTCTGTCCACATCCCATGAGCTACCTGCCCACTTCACCTGCAGTGTGTACAGGGTGTGTAGCTGTTTGGGCGGATCCACTGCTGCCCGAAAGGGAACTGCTGGCACCCTGCAGACGCAGCTCGAGGGGTCACTGAAAAGGGCCACTGTGTGCCCAGACCAGGGCCTGAGTTTGGCCTCAGATGCTCCTGTGCAGGACTCAGGGGTCTGGAGCAAGTGAGCCCCAAGCAGGACAGGCTGGGCAGGGCTGTGCTGAGTCCAGCGGGCAGTGCCAGCTGTGGCTCTTCACCAGTCCCCCCTGGGCCTCCCTGGACCCAAGGCAGCTCGTGAGAGATTGCGTGAGCTACAGCACACACGTGCACACACACAAAGATGCCCGCAGACATACACATGCGGACACATACACACACGTGGCATCCGAGCACAGCAGTGGTGGGGGGCTTTATTCTGATGGGGTTGCATTAAGTACAGCCTAGGACAGGAGAGGGGACCTGTGGGCCCCCAGGTCAGGTGAAGGGTGAGTGAGTGCTCATTGGAGGAGGCGTGGTGGGGGCATGAGCTCTAGACGCGATGCTCACCGTGTGGGCCCCGGGCAGCAGCCCAGACTGCGGAGCCAGCACCACTTTTGCGGGACCCCTGGCGACTCCGTGCAGCCACTTCCAAGAAGCCCAGGAGTGGCCGGGACTCTGAAGGGACAACAAGCCTCAGTAACTGGGCCATCAAGGAGGCTGGGGCAGACCTCCAGGCGTGGCCCCTGCCCCATGCTGCCCGTGAGCCTGGGTCAGGAAGGTGTGGTTAAGTACCGGCCAGCTGCCCTGCCACGAGGGAGTCCTCGGGCTGGCTCAGCAGGAAAGCCAGCTTGGACCGTGGGGCTGGCTTGAAGGTGGAGGGGCCCCTTGGCCAGGACCCAGGGCGGTGTCCGGGAGCTGAGAGCAGTCCCTGCCCGACCAGCAGCAGGAAACAGGGCCCTGCCCTGCCCCCAGGAACCGAACTCTGCCACAGCCTGAGTGCCCCCGTGGCACCGCGCTGGTTTCGGCGGGTGAACCTTGAGCAGGGCCGGCCGTGCCGCACTGACTGCGGACCTACAGGCGAAGCTGACAAACGGGGCTGGGCTCTTCCCACTCATTCCTTGTTGCTGTGGTCACGTACACCCAACATCACAACTACCGTTTCACCGCTTTTAAAGTCCGCGGTCAGCGCCTTGAGTACATTCACAGCACTGTGCAACCATCACCTCTATGTAGGTCCAGAACCTTCTACCCACCTGGACTCTGAGTGAACCCGAATTCAGGTCACTGAGGACACAGCTGGAGAAAGTGGTTGTGGGTCTCTGCCTGAGGCCACTGGAGCCTCGGGAAGCCCCTGGGGGACGTTCACCAACGACCTGGCCGCAGGGGCCGCTTCCTCCAGACAAGCCCGACCTGCTCACTTTCTCCTCCCTGCCCAGGGGAACTCCACACCCGCAGGGAGACTGGCTCCAGGAGAACATTCTGCCCAGGACCAACCTCAGACGCAGCGAGGAAGTGGATGACCTTTCTCCGGCCCGAAGATCCCCGTCAGCTCAGGCTACCTGGCAGGAAGAGGAAGGCGTCTGCTCTGCTCTTGACTTGGGGCACCTGGAGTCAGCGGGTCACCTCCCCTGGGCCTTTCCGGACATCCTGGTTGGCACCTGTACCCTGGAACTCCTCCAGGGGAGGGGCTGGGCGCCAGGCTGTGAGAGGGGGGCTGGTCAGCACGTGGCCTGTCTTTGGAGTGGGTGGGGGGTCTGGCAGGACCCCTGGCACTACCTCGGGCAAGCACTGCTGGTTCACGGCAGGAAGTCTGCAGGAAGGCTGCAGTCCCTGACCTTCCCCAGCACTGTCACCATGGGCACTTCTGATCTGCTGGCCCATGACAGGGTCCTGACACAGGCGCCCCCTGGAGAGGAGGTCCAGCAAAGCCCCTCTCTCTGGCCAGGCGTGAATCCGTCCATCCATGTGAAAGCTTGCGCACATAATGGATATTCACACGTGGCCCCAGTGGTCTGAGAAGTGGGCGAGTGTGGGCCAACACATCACGGTGGCCACCTGCCTGTCCCCTCCCACAACCAGATGGGACTAGGGTGGGGGTCTGGTGGGGGCATTCTGGGCCCTCTTTTGACCACACCAAGACCCTTGTCCTAGAACAGTGGTTCTCAACATTCCTAATGCCAGGGCCCTTTCATACAGTTCCTCATGTTGTGGTGACCCCCAACCATAAAATTATTTTCGTTGCTACTTCATAACTGTAATGTTGCTACTGTTATGAATCATAATGTAAATATCTGATATGCAGGACGTATTTTCATTGTTACAAATTGAACATAATTAAAGCATAGTGATTAATCACAAAAACAAGATGTAATTACGTATGTGTTTTCTGATGGTCTTAGGCGACCCCTGTGAAAGGGTCGTTCGACCCTCAAAGGGGTCACGACCCACAGGTTGAGAACCACTGTCCTAGAATCTTCTTTCTGCTCATCAAAATAACTGGGAATGCAACGAACCCAGTCCTAACATTCCCCACCCCCTCAGGTCTGTCAGCCTCAGCTTTCTTAGTTAACCCCTTCTCCATTTTTGCAGGAGACCCAAATGAAGGCCGAGGCACCCATGGGGTTATGGGCTTGGCTTAGTGCCAGCTGCTGGCTCAGCAGGCCCCTCATCTGTTGGAAAGGCCCATTCGCTTGTCACGTGGCTGAGATGGCGCTCGCTTTGCAAGGTTGAAGAGGAGCCAGTGTCTGGCCCTTCTGAGGGGCTCAGGAAACCTCATCTGCCATCCTCACCCCTGCTGGAGCGGACCTGCGCGTCCCTGGCGAGGCGGCGCTGGGGAGAGGATGTGAGCTCTCCCACGGGACCCAGTGTCCTGTAGGAAATGTTAGTTACAGAGACGAGAGCGCAAATACCTGCCACACGTGTGAGGCTTCCACGCTCCCCTCTCCACCGTGGCGACAGGAAACAGTGTTCTCCCCGATTGTGTCTCGGTCTGTGCGTCCTGGGGAATTTGGAAAGTACAGAAGAACACGGAGAATAGTCTAAAAACCACCCAGTTTGTGGCCAGCAACTGCCAGTGTGTGTATTTCTTCCCAGAAAGACTTGCAGAGAGAACAAACGGACGGTTCCCAGATGGGCAGGCGCTGGGGGCTGGGTGAAAAAGGGGAAGGGCTTGCCCTGGCCAGTGGGCTCAGTTGTCCCATACACCAAGAGGTGGCGGGTTCGAGTCCTGGTCAGGGCACATACCCAGGCTAGGGGTTTGATCCCCGGTTGGGGAAGGTGTGGGAGGCAACCAATCAATGTTTCTTTCTCACATTGATGTTTCTCTCTCTCTCTAAAAATCAATAAAAATTTAAATCAAAATAGAAAGGTGAAGGGATTAAGGAGTACAAACTGGTAGTTACAAAATAGTCACAGGGATGTGAAGTACAGCACAGGGAATACACTCAACAATACTGTAATGCCAACGTACGGTGCCAGGTGGGGGCGAGACTTACCGAGGGATCGCTTCGTGTAAGGTGCATACATGTGTAATCACTATGTCGTACACCTGAAATTGTATGTGATATTGAAGGTCAACCATAACTGAAATATAAATTTAAGTTTTTAAAAATAAAATTTAAAAATTAAAAACAAAAAGAAGTTACCTGGCTGGGTTTGGTAATGTGTGAATTCTGTCCCTAAGTGAAGCGGGTGATGGCTTCAGGTCGCTGAGGTGTGCAGCTCCCTGCAGAAAGCGTGTGTAAGCGTGTGGGGGGAGGCGTGTTTTCGCACAGCGAAAGGCAAGCCCGTGAATGTCACACCCGACATCGGCTCGTTCACCAGGGACAGCAAGATGCACAGAAGAACATCACAGAAGATGACCCGCAGGACCAAGTCCATGCCTTCTGTCGATGCATAAGTCAAAGTGACTCCGTGTACCTCTGTCCTGAATCCTGACGTTCATGGAAGATCGAGGTAAAATCACATGACCCCTATCCCGATAAGGCTGCATGTCTGTAGGTGAGCTGTGTGTACGTGTCCCAGGACAGAGCAGCCAGGGCACTAACAGCGAGGTGCCGTGGGGACCAGGGCTGGGCAGGTGGACGCCGGGGAGAACCGGACCTTGAGCGGCTCCTCTGAGCCACCCTCTGAGCACACGGGCCGCCCAGATCGGTCCAGGTTCACGGAATGTCATCTGCCCAAATTCTCCGAGCGGGTTATTCTATAAAATCAGACAGGTGTTGCCTGATCATGGCAGGGCCCTTTCCTGGCCCAGCGGGAAGGCTGCCTGGCAGAGGCCAGTAGACCCATTGGATTCGGGACGGACACAAGTAGTGACGCCTTTCCCACTGAGACCCGAGGCCGCTGAGGGACGGTGCCATCTTCCCAGCTGCCTCTTCCAGGAGCTCGGCCCTCTTACCCACAGGGCCAGAGCATGCACCCCGCCTGCAGATTCACCTCCCACCTTGTCCAGGTGCTGGACGCCACGCACCGTGGGCACCCTGCAGCTGGGGTGCGCGCGCAGCAGCAAGCACACTGCAGTGGGAAAGGCCCGGGATCCCGAGGCAGGAGCCACAGTGGCCATTGTGGATGGAAAACCACAGACCAGCTGACCACCTGAACCACCCGTCAAAGTGACCCGAGGTTGCAGGTTACACTGGGAAACGGAGGCTTGGTCAAGTGAAGAGTCATGTCCCCATTCCAGGGGGGGAAACTTGGGCTGCCAGGACCATATTCTGAGCTCTTCAGCCCAGCAACAAGCCACCTTCCAACCTCCCAGACCAGCAGCTAAGGGGGCCCCCCAAGCCTGCCCAGACTCACACCCACGCCCTCTGCTCTCAGAGGCCAGGAGCTGAGAGCCAGTGCAGGACGTGGGGCTGCGAGTTGGCCCCTCCTCAAGTGTGGCTGATCCCGCGCCCAGTGCTTTGCTGGCAGGGACACTTCCCCGCACCCAGCGGCGTGCCAGCCGGAAGCCTGTGAGAACAGCTCACTTCCTCCGCCGGGCTGTGGGCCAGGTTCCCACGTGGAGAAATGAAAGTCGGGGCAAGTCCCAGACTGCTTCCCAGGAAAGCCCCTGCAAAGCCCCACGGCAGCAGGCTCACTGGCACACGTTAGCCCAAGTAGGAAAGGGAATTTCTCTCTCCCAGAGTCTGCAGGCATCATTGCCTGTCGCATGTCCCAGTCCAGCCCTAACGCTGGCCGTCTCCGGTGTGTTCTACAGCCTCCAGGGAGAGGGGATGAGGAGCCACTCCACCAGGGCCAGTGCCCGCCACACCCCTTGACTGGGGGGCACTAGAACACACCAGCCTGCACCACACCTTTCTGGGCCTTTCTTGGGGCGGTGTCTGCACATTGAATTCTGCACTTATTCGGGCAGAAGCCTCCGCTTCCCTGTGGGGCCTTGTGAGGCCCCCTGGCCTCAGCCCCCAATTCCAGCCTTCCCCGCCCCATAGTCACCCATCTCTCTCTCATCTGGGATGTTTCTCTTTGGTCTCCAATCTCTTTAAGTCCCAACTAGTCTGTATGGACGACGTTCACTGACCTTCATCCAACAAGCCTGTAATGGGCATCCACTCTGTGCCAGGCCCTGGGAGTGGAAACAAACCTCCAGGCAGGGGAACAGCCCGTGCAAAGGTCCTGGGCAGAGGTGCTTGGACAGGGCAGAGTGGCTGAGCTCAGTGAGGTCCAGGGTCAAGGCCGGGCGAGTGTGGCCTGACCAGACAGGCACTATGAGGGTGTGAGCTGGGAGAATGAAATCTGACCCAGGTTTTGGGCGGTGCCCTCCCAGCTCCTGGGGCATGGGTGGGTCTCTCCCAGGGGTGTTGGCCCAGCCTGTGCTCTCCCTGGCCTCTGGCTGTGGGTGACTCCACTTTCACACGGGGTTTCCCCGGGAGCGGTCTCTGTGGCAAGTAGCCTGACCAGGAAAGTCCCGGACCACAGTCAGTGAGGAGAGGCTGCTCCAGGCCAGGCCAGCAGTGCCTGCAGAGGCTCCTGAGGGCACGGGCTCTGACACCACAGGGGCTGCGGTCCGGAGCCTCCATCGGGCTCTCTCCTGTGGGATAGCAGGACACCTTTGCGTCAGGCTGGTGTCCCTGCCTTGGTCCGGCCTGGCCCTCAGTTATGCAGGGACACTCAGGGAGGCGGGTGTGGCCCACTGTCCTGAGGGGGGCAGCCTCCCCCCCGCCTGGTGGACGGCTGTGTCTACAAAGGGAAATAGAACCCAGGTTTGGGAGGTGCCCTCCCAGCTCCTCTGCATGGCGTCGTCCAGGGGGCAGACTGGGCCAGCAGAGAGCCTGGAGGGACACGCTTTCCACAGAGACGGGAATGGCCTGGGGGACAGGCGACCAGCTGACTGATGGCCGGTGTAGGCGTTAACTAAGCCCTGCTGTCGGGGGTGACAGTGAGCCCCTTCCTTCCCAGGCAGGACCCCTGCTCTCCCCCAGAGCTCGCTGCTCTCACCGCCCTTGGTCCACGAAGAGGAAGTTGGGTGCCCTGTGCCCCCTCTGTGCCCTTCGGGCCCCAGTCTCTCTCTCTCCTCCTCGGACCCTGAGCTCCCTTCACGACCGTGATCTCTGCCCCAGACAGCTGGGTCACAGTGACAAGAACACGACAGGGGAGGTGAGTGGGAGGCCCTGGAACACGTGCTCCTGTGCCTGTGCCCCACCCAGGACACCGACTGACCATGTTCTCCGGAGCCCTCAGGGCAATGCCAGGTGCAGGGACACATGCTCCCTGTGTTTAGAGCATGACCTTCACTGCCCCTCTGGATGCCCAAGTACTGCCTCCCAGCCCCTGCTCTGTCCACCAAGGCACCCCATCCAGGACCTACGACCTCCTGCACTCCCAACCCACAGACTCTGGCGCTGCCCTCACTGTCCCCTCCTGCCCCTGACCTTCATTCCATTGCACCCAGCAGGCTTGCCCTTGGCAGGGGCTGGCATCCTCTTGTGAGCAGTAGCGATGGAAACCTGCCATTCAGACATGAGCTAATCCAATCCCATTCTACGGAGTCCACTCCGACAGCCTGGTCATGTCCACATGTGCCAGGGTTCATAGCCCAACGCCTCCATGCCCCTCGCCTGTGGTACTCACTAACCCACCTCAGCCCCATGCACCCAGCCTCATTTTCCCATTTCACAGGTGAGGAAGTTGAGGCCCAGAGAGCTGGGCAGCTGCTTCAGGCCACACAGCACAGAGGGTGGTGCTCACTTAGAACGTAGATCAGCCCTGGCCGCCCCCCTCTTCAGCCCCCTGTGTCCTTTGGGCCCCTTTCTCTCCAGCCAGGGCACCTGCTCTCCCCCCTAACCAGCGGGGACACCTCCAAAGGGAGGCATGCAGTTTGGGAGGAGAAGGCCTGAGCCACCGCGTGCTCCTGCTGCCACAAGACCGGAAGATCGGGCTCCCAGACGCAGGCGGCTGGCGCTGGACGGTAGCTGGGATCCAGGCTGCGCCCTGCTGTGGTCCGACAGCCCAGGCTGCAGGGAGCTGGAGAAGGACCGGGAAAGCCCAGGGCAGCCCCAGCCTGACACCGTGGGCTAGCCCTGCAAGATGGAGGTGCCACTGATCGCTCCCAGGTGGCTGGGCCTGGATGCAGGCACCGGACAGCCCCCTGGCCGGCAGCAGGCGGGGACTCCAGGGCGGCCTGGCCACTGACAGTGTGGGACACGGGGCGCCGGGAGGGCAGAGGTGCTGGCCTCAGGTTCTGGGGTGGGGCCAGGTGTGGCATGTCTTCAAAATATTTCCAAGATTTGAAAGACAAGTGTCTGTGTGAAAGGCATTCTTTTTGGTAATTTGAGGGAACCGATAACAGCCACTCTGGGAAGAGTGACCGCTGAGGCGGTTCTGGCTGCCGCCCTCGGCTGATAACTTGGGGAAATCTTCGCCTCGAAGGGCCAGGGCCCAGACGCGCTGAGCTGTGGGCGCGGCTGAGTAATAAGGTGACGTTCTTAGAAACCGAGGGTTTCGGTCTAAGCAGAGGGTGACGTAGACACACAACACGCGAGGTGAGAGGTCCTCATGCTCCTTTAAGTCGGGATGTGATACGTGCTTTGCGTTCTGTGTATATTTATTTCATATTCTAGCTCTACCCAGGCTAGTCCCGTGGGAAGCCCGAGAACCGTGCCACCAGCAGCCCTCCCTCCGCCCCGGGTGGGGTTTCGCAATTCCATTCCCACCTGAAAGGCAGCAGGAGCAGGGAGGCCCTGCCCGAGGGCACAGGCGAGCCTGGCACCTCAGCCACAGGAGGGCGTGCCAGGGGCTAAGTTTTGGACAATGTGAACTTCAAACAGAATAATGATCGTAACTCACTGAAGGAGTGAAAGTCCACAAGTTCAGAGAAACACTGTTTACAAGTCTAAAACGGAAACAAATAAAAGAGCAAAGGAGACGGGGAGAGGAGGGGGAAGGGAGGCTCTCTTTAAGGCGGCGAGTCAGCCAGTGGACGCAGAGGTGCTGATGAGGTCAAGCATCTCATCGGCAGCCCCTGCGATCACCGCTGACCGGGACCAGGGTACCTGTGGGGGCTGGAGCAGAGCTCCTGTGACGTGGTAGTTGCCAAGGTGGGACTACACCTGCACGGTGGAGGCCCAAATGGGGGCCCGGTCGGCTCCTGAGCAAGCACTCGGGACACACTGAGGGTCTGCCCAGCGCTGCCAGCCAAGACGTTTGGGGTGGGGATCTCTGTGGAGCCCGGCTGCACTACACATTGTGGGTGTTGAACACCACCCTCGCCAGGGTGACAGCCCCAAACTCCCCCCGATTTGGCAAACATCTCCTGGGGGGAAAAGTTAAGGTTAAAAATGGTGGCTCCAGGTCCAACCTCCAGGTTACAGGAAGCCAGGGAGGGGACAGCAGACAAGTTAAAGACCCCAGGAGGGGCGGGAAGACAGATCCAGAAGGTGCGACGCAGTCCACAGCCAGGTCATCAGGAAGAGTCTAGGGCAGGGGTGGGCAAACTTTTTGACTCGAGGGCCACAATGGGTTCTTAAACTGGACCGGAGGGCCGGAACAAAAGCATGGATGGAGTGTTTGTGTGAACTAATATAAATTCAAAGTAAACATCATTACATAAAAGGGTACGGTCTTTTATTTCAATAGTTTTATTCATTTCAAACGGGCCGGATCCGGCCCGCGGGCCGTAGTTTGCCCACGGCTGGTCTAGAGTCTAGAGACGGATGGAGAGGCTGGGGACCCAGCGTGGAACCTGGCAGGCGGGGACGAGCGGGGGCCCGTGGATGGGGACTGGAATGGGCACTGCTACAGGACGTTCTGAGGGCGGGAGGTGGCGCGCCCATGTTCTCCGCACCCCAGAGGTGTGCTAGCACCAGTGTGCAGTGTCTACACCTGCTTCCAGGACGGCTCACCGGAACGCATGCACCATCAGCGCTGAGGGGGGATGCACGTGCCATCTTCCTGGGGAGGGTGCGGCTGTTCACACTCCTATTCTTTAAACTTTTTATATCAGTTTTTATAGCCCCCCCCCATTATAATGGTTATTACATAAACACAAAAATGAAAGATGAGAAATTAAAACCCTCATGCACTGTGGGTGGGAATGTAAAATGATGCAGCCACCTGGAAAATATTATGGTGGTTCCTCAAAAAATTAAAAATAGAATTATCATATGACACGGCAATTCTACTTTTGAATGTACACTCAAAAGTGAAAGCGGGATCTTGAAGAGATAGTTGCACATCCATGTTCACAGCAGCATTCACCACCGGCGGCAAAGGCAGAAGCAACCCGTGCCCACCATGACTGACGGGTCAGCATGTGGCCCAGCCGCACAGTGGAGTATCATTCAGCCTGGAGGAAGGAGCTGCCACACATGCCGCAGCACGGACGAACCTCAGGACACCACGCTCAGTGAGATAAGCCAGACAAGAAAAGACAAATACTGTGCGATCCCACTCATGCGAGGTCCCTGGAGTTGTCAGATTCATGCAGGGAGTAGGATGGTGGGTATCAGGGTCTGGGGCAGGGGGATGGAGAATTCATGTTTCATGGAGACAGAGTTTCAGTTTGGGAAGATGGAAAGTTCTAGAAATGGGTGGTCTCAATGCCACTGAACTGCGCACTTAAGAATGGTTAAGATGGTAAATGTTATGTGATGTGTGTTCTCCCACAATTTTTGAAAAGGTAACGTGGGTTCCAAAAGGTGGGAGGGTCCTGCAGTCAGGCCCCCAGACCCCAGCCCCTCGCCTGGCCCTGGCCCTTCACCTGGAAGCACCAAGGACCAGCTCACACTGCGAGAACCTTTCTACATGGTGACGTGGCTGCAAAACGCTCCCAACTTTGAGTCTGCAGCCCCGTTTCTGGGAAAATACCCCAAGGAAAAGGTCTCTGAGGACAAAATGCTCTTCCCAACATGATTTTAATCAGGAGAAGCTGCCAACAACGGAGCGTCCACGGGGGCGAGGGGTGGGCTGCATGTAAGCGCCCTGAGAAACAGGACAGGCCCGGCCATTTGGGGCCGCGACCCAGCAGGGCCGTCGGAGGGCTGGGAGGCGCAGCGGTTTTTAACATGCTAACCTGCGCTGACCGAAAAAGGACTCCCTGAGCTACAAGACACACGGGCCCGGCAGCTTTAGGCTGTAGGGTGGGAGGCTGGCTTACTTTTTCTGTCCTCAATCTGCAGCAGTTTGGCTGCGGTCACTTTCACAGTAACATAAATATCAAAACTGGGAGCAGCGTGGCCCTAGGGCGGCCCCTGGACATTCCTGCCCTCGGCTTTCCCACGCTGGCATCATCACTGGGCTCTTCCCTGTCGGAAGGGAGAACCATCTTGGGGGAATTAAGGGCTTTTCCATGGGGAAGGGCTGTCTCATGTCTTCTGGGGCACCCACCCCAGCGAGGGGGAGTGCTCCCCACCCTCAGCTCAGCCTCACAGAGATGGGCCTTGGGCTAAGGCTCTGGTGGCAGCAGCCCTGCGGCCCTTGCACTTGGCCAGCGAGGTCGCCAGAGCCAGGTCTGGGGCCCGCATCCATGCTCCTTGCAGACCCCCAGTGACAGGTCTTGCCTGGCTCCCCAGGATTTGTTTGTTTGGGTTTCCTATCACCTGGTGTTGCTGAAATGGCCGGGGAAGAGGGTGGAGAGTCCGTCCAATCAAGCGCTTATCTTGTCAGGAAATGCCCACAGACACACCCAGAATAATGTTTAATCTGGCCTCAAAGGGCAGTTACGCTGACACATGAAATTAACCATGACAGCAGAGGCCCCAGCAGGAGATGAAGGGCTAGGGGTGGGGAGTGGGGGGTGGTGGCCTTGCGGTGCCTGTGGCACCCCCGCCCCAGCGCTCATTTGATAAATGACTGACCTTTCAGAGCCATTTAGCACCATCAATAAAAGCTGGTCTCCAGCTGGAAATCCCCCTCAGAATCCCCCACAGGCCTCCCGAGAACAACTTCCTCCCAGAGAGAGCGAGGGCCAGGACACCCATGTCACCTGCAGCAACAGCTGGGCAGGTGAGGGGCTTGGAGGGGCAACGCTCTCGATCCCCTCCAGCCTTTTCGTGCCCCACCCCACTGCAGGGCACTCTGGGTCTAGTCTGGGCCTGGAGGCACCTGGGACCCTGTCTGTGTCCCAGGGCCGCTGGACAGGGTGGGGGCAAGGAAGTCTCACCCACCTGTCCTGCAGGGAATCCTGCGGCTGGGTCACCCTGAGAGCCCCACGACCCAGCAGCCTGCCCTGCTTGCTGCCCCACCCATTCTCCCGTGTCTCCTCCTGTCTCCCCGCCTGCCTACCTCACCTGGGCGCCCCTCCTCAGGTGGCTCTGGAGAACCAGTCCAGGACAGCCAGCTGGGCACGAGGGCTCGGCAGCCAGACCCCTGTGGGCACTGTGGGGTCAGGTGCCAGGCCTGGCAGGACAGCTGTGAGAGGAAGGTCTGGGAGGGCTCTGGGAGAGTTCGGCCATCACCAGTGTGTCCAGGAAGCTAGGTCCCACTGCGTGATCATGGGCAGATGGGCAGACAGGCAGCGCGTGCTGCCAGCACAGGCCCAGGTCCCACTGTGTGCTCATGGACAGACAGGCAGACAGGCAGCACAGGCTGCGGGCACAGGACCGGGTCCCACGGCACTCAGGGAAGAGCTGGGATCTGAGATCCAGGCGGCTGCTTTCTACATTTTTTCTCTGAGGACCAGCTCAGTTTCCAGGATCTAAAACCCATGTCCACCCCAAGTGGATGAACCCTCAAAGCAGGCAGGGTGGTGGGCAGTGACAGGGTACCAGGGGTCCTGGACTGACTGCCCTTGCTGCCACAGAGCTGCACTCTGACCCAGCTACGATGGTAACTCCTATGTTATGTGTATGTCACAGTTAACCATCCTTGTGCCCCTGAAAACCTCTAGACTTGGGAGCAGTCTTCACACATGCACGTCCTGGGCTGTGCTGGGCCAGGTTTGGGCAAGGGGCCCATGAGGCTGTCAAGGGGGCTTTGGGCTCTGCCTCCTCAGAGTCCCACGCGGAGTGAGCTCTGTGCGGTCAAAGGCACACCCACCCTTTAACCCGAGGTGGTCAGCAACTTCACTGTCAGCCTCTGCGTCGACTTACAAACCTCCCAAAGGCAGGCCCCCAGGTCCCAGGGTGCTCCGGGACAGAGGGGCAGCCAGGGCCGTGTGGCTCAGTTGGTTGGGCGCCGTCCCATGCACCAAGAGGCTGAGGGTTCAATTCCTGGTCACAGCACATGCTCAGGTCGCAGGCTTGATCCCCAGTCGAGGGCATGTAGGAGGCAGCCATCAAAGTTTCACTTTCACCCCTCCCTCCCTCCCTCCCTCCCCCCTCCCTCTCTCTCTCTCTCTCTCTCACACACACACACACACACACACACACACACAGATGGTTTCATAGGCTGAACTGTGTCCCCCCAAAGCCGATATGTTGAAGCCCTGACCCCAGGACTTCAAACTGTGACTGTGTTTGGAGATGGGTCTTTGAAGAGGCGATTAAGGTGAAATGAGGTCATTACGGTGAGACCTGACCCAATCTGTCTGTGTCCTTCTGAGAAGAGACCAGGACAGACACACAGAGGCACAGGCATATGAGGACACAGGGAGAAGACGGCTATTTGCAAACCAAGGAGAAGCCTCAGGAGAAAACAGCCCTGCTCGCACCTGGATCTTGACTTCCAGCCTCCAGGACGGTGAGAAAATGACTCTGTTGTTTAAGCCGCTGGGTCGGTGGTGCCATCACGGTCCCCTGACACTATCACAGCTGGGTTCTGAGTTTCTCCCAAACCATCCTTTAACCCCAGGGAGCAAACCAGGTCTTCCCCAGGCTGGGAACGGCCCCCTCAGGGGGAGAGTCCAGTGTCTCTGCAGGACCCAGAGTGGGGGGTGGGGCCGCAGGTCGAGTGCACAGAGCCCGTGATGAACGCAGACTTCCGGCGACATGTCTCATAGAACTTCCTGTTTCAGGTCAGATCAGAAGCTCCATGAGACACTAATGAAAACTATTTCAGTACTTCTGCTATTTGACCTTAGCCCAAACCAGGAAGTGCAGGGAAGCATGAAA